CGGCCCTGACCTTCGGCAGCCTTTATACCGCGTGAGGTTCCCGGACAGGTGCGGGGCAGGTGTCTGTCCCCCCAATCCTGCCGACCCGGAGACAGGTGGGCCTGACCCGTAGTGCCTCCCCCTCCCTCCCTCCCTCCCTCCCTCCCTTGCCTTCAGAGCGTGACGTCACGGCTCCACCTGCCCCTTCCACGGACTGGTCCGGTGGCAAAAACAGCGAGCAGTACCGACACCAGGCGCGGGCCAAATAACACCGTGGGAGAATCCGTGCAACGGACCGGCGCGGCGCGGGCGGCAGCTGACGCAGCTCTGGGGAGGGAGGAAGGGCAGCTGGTGTGGACGGGAGCTCTCAGAACGGCACCTGCCCGTCGTCGAATCATCTTCGTCTGACGTGTCTAAATTCCATAGCCGCCGGCTGGCGCCGACTCGTCGCCTAATGGTAATGACCGCCCGTGGGCTATCACGCTACCCATCAATAGTCCACTGTCCGGCTTCCATGGAATGTTGCTTGTCTGGAACTGGGATTGAATCATACTGACCTAGACTAAGCTCACATTTCAGCGAAACCTCATGGCAGGAGCATCTTCCACCGAAAACGTTATTTGTAAAACGTTAAAAAAAAAAACGTTAAAACGTACGTTATTATTGAAATCCAATTATTTTTGTCGTTATTACGATAAACGGGACATTGGCCATTCATTCAAATACTCAGTTTCGTTTGCTTCCATCGTGTTACAAGTACAGTGCCATCATGAGCACTAACTGATGCCAGCCCATCCGACAAAACCCGCCGCGGAGTCTGTGCTGCTCGTTTCCACGAACCCCTGAAAAAATACCCCCCGTCTCCTTTCCAGGCGCCAGCTACCTCGTTCATCACCCCCCCCCCTCCCCTCACTCCCCCCGGTCGCCCCCTCATCCTGCTCGTCCCATCTTCGTCGCGGTGCGTTGGGAGCATCTGCTGCCCAGAAGACATCCCCCCCTTCATGCCGAGGGGTGGAGGGGGCGATACCTCCGTGGGGGGTCGGCGCCGGCACGCGCTGCGGGTAGGGCAGAGGAGAGGAGGGAGGGAGAGGGGTCTGGTTCTGTTGAGGTCGCTGTGGTAGGGTTTCCGGCGCAGGAGAATTCTTTATCTACGGATGCGGGTTCAGCCCACATGTTCTCCACCGCAGAGCTAGGAGAGGTCTTCGTTGGGTGAATCGGTGATAAGACACGGCTCAGTCATCAGTGTAGTTATAGTATGATCTCCCGCGGCTTTGACATCGTCAAGCAGTTAATCTCGTCGATAGTGTGATGTGGGCTGTGGTTAGGGACGGTACTGCATGAGCACATGCCTCGAGCGATGTGTGGTTTGTGCGGTCGTTCCATTTCTACCGCTCAGTCCGGACATGTTTGATGTTAGGCATGAATACCTATATTGGCCATCAGCTTAACCCTCGCGGGCCCGGGGGGGGCGTTTTTCGCCCCCCCCCCCTGGCGAATATTTGCGATAGCTCCCGAACGCTTAGGGATAGGAAGGCGAAACTTTCAGTACCTTTTCTCCCATCAATTTGACATCTTCTGAAGTAAAAAATTGGACCTAGCCCCCTTGATGACGTCACAAGGTCCATTTTTCTAGACCCCTGCACGGCAAACTTCGGCGTCACAGACGCAAACTTCAAATAGCTGCTAAAAATAGAGTTTTAGAGATAAAGACAAATTACGAGCACGGCTGTGTAGCGTTTGACCTAGAGAAAAATAGAAAAATAGTTTTGGTGACCTGAGGTCAGAGGTCAGGTCAACGACCCCGAAATGTGGTTTTAGTTTTTCGCAAATAACTTCGACAAAAATGGTCCTAGAGCTACGGCAGTGGTACCATCGCGCATTCGCCTTGTCAAGCCGCGTCGAATGATATATATTTTGTTCGGAAAAGGTCAAGTTTCATGTTGACCTCATGTGACCTCGAATGACCTCTGGTTGACCTTGACATATGAAAGGTCGTTTATGATGGATTTGTACCCGCTGATCACGAATCTGGCATCTATTTTCCTCTAAGCCTTCATTTAGAGCTTCCGGATGGCAAAATTGTCTTATTTATTATTACTAGCTTGAATCAGTGAAATAGCCTCTAGCAGGGATACTCTTCTGTGACCTTGACCTTTGAGCAGCCTTCTATCGTAAGATGAACCACAAATAGGGAACTGATAAGCCTCAAAACATTTCAAAACATCTTGGAAGTTAGGACGCAAGATGTGCGAAAAAGTGCCAAGTTTGAGGTCAATTTTGAGCGTGACCTTGACCTTGACCTTTGATTTGGAGCACATTTTCAGAATCCTCAGATTCTCTTCTTTCGTTTGACACCCAATTTTGCCGGTTTGATGTAGCCTGCCGTCCTCTAGAAGGCTTACTTTGAGATCACTATTCACTACACATGTGCCGGTTTTGGCCTTTGACCTTGACCTCTGACCTTGAAAATTGACCTGAGGTCAACAATTTTAGGTGCATTAGAATCGTCTCGTAAGGACCTTTCGTTTGGTATCGCTTTTGTTTCCGTAGCTCCCTTATTTACGGAGTTAGACAGGGGGGGGGGGGGCGAAAAACGCCCCCCCCCGGGCTGCGGTGGTTGGGATTACCCCCCGGGCCCGGCCGGGTTAAGTGGCCGGTGGCGCGAATGAAAAGGTCCTAACTATTAACTTATAAGCAAGCGATGGTGAATTGCGCATCGCACACACCACATACCGAAGGACGGTTTTAGGTACGAGTACTATCAAAATACCGGGAAGAAATCGTTATTTTTTACCTCGATTTGAGTATTGTAATATATAATATGAAATCGTTGTTTTTGCAAAATTCGATTGCTGGAATCGGCATGCTATTTTACTGAGGCGGTGTGACGCTTAATGCCGTTTTAAACGGAAGATGTTATCCGCCATTGACGTGAAATTCTGCTATTTATGGTCCTTTTTAGATTAACTCAAATTTCAAAACCATGTAAATTTACCTTCTCAAGTTGCGCCGAGTATTAGTTGCCATCATGCGGACGACGGGCAGCGAGAAATAAAAACAAACAAGCTCAAAAACACATTACTTCCCCTAGAAAAGCCATCTTCTACCTAGGACTTCGCACCCCATCCAAAACACATCCACCTGGCCTCTAACACCCGTATTGACCCTTCCTGTCAAACCCTGACAGCTGAGAGGTCCTTTGACAAGACAGTGACGGAACACACGTGGCCCAAAATCACCTCAGCACAGGAGGGACGCCACATCACCCTCTCTGGGGCGTCTCTAGTTCTACCAACAGCCGGTCTCTCATCTTGAGCCCGACGGGCGCACTGCACACGGTCGCGGCACGCGCCTGGGTTTAGGCGCCGGGTGGTGTCCCCCTCCCTCCCCCCTCCGGATGCGTGGGGATAGAGGGAGGGAGGGGAAGGGCTCGTGCCATCCGCCGCCCGACAGAGACAGCTGCCACCTAGCGGAGGGTGACGGAAACTGGTCGTCTGGAGGTGATTAGTGATTACCACCCTTCGTTGGGAGAGCGGAGGGGAGGAAAGGGGTTAGGGTAGAAGACACCGTGAGTTCTGTAGAGGAGGGAGGGTTGTTCTGCCAATCCCGACAGTCAGCTGCGTCTGGAGTCTCATGGTGGCGCTATGGTGTCCGAGCGAGGGGAAGATGGCGGTGGTAACGGGGTCGGAGACGGGGACCCGCTGGAATTTCCGGCAGCTGATACCGCAGACGAGGCCACAGCCGCACCCGGTGTGCTAGGGTTTTTTCTTGCAGTTAGGGAGCCAAACGTTAACGCTTTATTTCGGTCGCCCACTTCGCCAGTCTGCTCTCAAGCTGACGGAATGCCATAGGTCCGAGGCATCAGTGGTATTTAACTCACTGAGCCGCTTCGATGTAGGTAGTTATAGGCAAACATTCATATCGATACATCTCTGAATATTACACTCAACAGTGGCTTAACCCCCGCACCGACGGGGGGGCGGATATCCGCCCCCCCCCCCCTGAGGTTTTTCGCGGATAGCGGGAAAACCGCGGCGCGTAGCGCCGCGAAATTTGGTACGACTATTCTCTCATCAATTTTGCACATGGTGTGCAACTTTGAACCTCCTAACTTTCAAGGTCAGGTCACCAGGTCACTTTGAATGACCCAACCTCAAGTCACTTTTTTGCAACTTTGTCACCGTGCCAGAGCTACAGTAGATGTCGGAGGCCTTTGAAAGTCGCAGGATGTTATAAGGTCATTAGTAGCTACAATTTTTATATCTCGGAATTTTGATGTCGGTGACCTAAGGTCAGGTCAATTTCGCGACCTCCCCATTATAAGTCAATGGGGGAAAAATCAACTCCCTGTTTTTACCACTAAAACGGGTCGGAATGGCCCCATATACCATACATGACTTCATATACGATCAACCTTCACTACCTTGAGGTCTGTTTTGCTGTTGGGCAGCTGTAAGGTCATGTGACGTCATCAAAGGTCACCCAAGATTTTTTGCCAATAACTCCGTACAGGAACAAGATACAGCCGTGCGGATGGTCTCATTGTGTTCAGCTCGTCAAGACGCATCGAATGATATACATGATGACCTCGAGGTCACGTGACCTGAGGTCAACCTTTGACCTTGACCTTTCGAGGTCAACATATATATCATTCGATGCGGATTGACGAGAGGATCACGACGATGCCCTTAGTTTGTTCCTATCTTGACTAATTCGAAAGTTATTCGAGAAAAACTCCATATCTAGCGCCGCCATTGACTTTTTCGACCCCTGTGACGTCATCTTTGACCTGACCTGAAAATGACCTTAGTAAAAATTGTAGACCTTGTCCGTGCGTATCCGATGCCGTTTACCGCTTGTCGCTATCTCGCTTTGTTCTCGAGATCTCAGGGGGCGGTCATCCGCCCCCCCCCCGTCGGTGCGAAGTTGGCGCAGACCCCCGTCGGTGCGCGGGTCATGAACAGCACAGAAATCATGAACAGCACAGAAACGCGCCAAAGCAATATCCACAAAGAAATGCGTAAATAAGAACCATGTATTGATTGATGACTGGGACACTGCCGGCCCAGTATTGCCGACTCGCCGCGTGGCGGCGCCACCTGCGCACCACCAGGGTGCGCTACTGCTCCATTTTCTCCCCGCTATCCCCAGAGGGCGCTGCTGTCGCGGCCGCCGATGTCGCCGCCGCCGCCGCTGCTGCCTTCACCTTCTCTAGCGCTTCGACAGGGAGTCGCCGGGGTCCGTACAGCAGCACGTAAGCACAGTGCCAGTCGCCGCCGCCCGACAGTTTAAGGATGTCGGCCTCCTCGACAGGTGTGACGGTGTCGTCGTCGAACTTGACCCAGCCGGTGGCGAGTTTGACCCAGCCCACGTAGTGGCCCGAGCTGCTGCTGCGCCCCTGGTGGGTCAGCACCGCCTGCAGCTCGTAGAAGCCGCTGTTGTTCGAGCCCATGTCTGGGGAGCGGGGAGAGAGCGCGGTGATATAGATGCATAATTGATAGCAGCTGGTGCGTGAAGAAAAAACAATTGATGGAGCTGTGTCAAACACAAATTTAACTCCCATAAAGGCTTCGGCTATCAAACCAGAGGCGATTTTTCAGAAGGATGTCAAGCTACGTTGTTCATTCTTTTCCATCAGCAGTTCAAAAATGTGGCCGCATAATTTTATGATAAAGATGAAACATGGTAAAAAAAAACTTTGGGTGAAAATTAGCATAGGCACATTGAAAGATAATGATATCCGCGATGAGTGATGATAATCCGCGATGAATGATGAATGGATGATAATCCGCGTGTTGCGGATTAGGAGCCAGGTTTTCAGTCTACCCATCCCACCCCGGTCCCCCCTTCTCACTGACCGTCCTCGAAGCTGAAGGGCACGCAGGCCACCTCCTCCTTTTTATCCGCCGGCGCCGTGGCCGCTTTGTTGGCCGGCACGCGCGCCTCCTCCGCCTTGAGGTCCTCCCAGGCCTTGAAGTGGGTCCGCATCGGCAGCAGCTTCTGCTGCAGCTCCTCCGAGCACAGCTCGTACACGTCCAGCAACATCGGGAACTTGACGTCCTTCAGGATCTTGGCGTTTACACCCTCCTTCTCCTGGAAATGAGACGGGAGAAGTGGGTGGTATGCGAAATATGATTGAGTGGTAAAATAATATCGAATAAAACAGGACGAACACGAACCCCGAAAACGCTACCTGTATAGCATCTTGTAGCTTTATAGTCGATAACGCTAAAGAAAATACTCTTCCTACAGAATTACTACTAACAGAACCGCCAACGCCCGATCTGTACGTAGCGTCGTAGTTACCTTGTAGAAGAACCTGACGAGTTGGACAGTGAGGTAGGCGGGCAGCCGGCTGATGCGGGACGTCTTGCTGTACGCTGCGTCACGGTCCAGCAGGGCCGACCGCTTCGTCAGCTGCTCCTGTAACCGCTGCAATCGGGCACGGGGAGGGGTCGGGTCAAAACACGGGAGACTTGCAGGGGGAGGGCGAGAGTAAGACGAGAAGTGACTAAGAACACATCAGCTAGGAGGCAGCTGCTATACGGAGGGACAAAAATGTGGGAAGTGGTCCTTTTTAGCAGCGGAGGAGGAGGAGACAGCAAAGGTCTCGCACAGAACTTGGAAGGGAAGGAAATGAATCCAATGGTACTCGACAAACGCGTGCCCCAAGGCTTGTGAGGGTCACATGACCCGCATAGGTATTTCAATAAGTGACCCAGCAAAGTGAGAGCTCACTCCAGAATGGCGTGATAAACGCTGAAATGACGCCTGGGGAACAATAAAGTGCTAGCAATACTAAACAATGCACCCGTCTCACCGATATATCTCTAAGAATGACACTTGGGTCTCCGAATCGCATGGTCCTACACAGTTACTACGGCGATCGTGCTCAAAGTTCAGACGATCATCATCTCAGCACGAGCTGAAAACGCCCCCCTTTCCACCGGAGCTCTAGGAATCCGACGAGTCTCACCAGTTTGAGCCCGGTGTGAAGGTATTTGACGTCCTGCGATATGAAACAGCTGAGCTGGAGGAACTTCTCCGTGGACCGCGTGACGGGCTCCTCGTCAGATTCGACGCACTTGAGTTCGGAGCTGAACACGCCACCAAAGTACTGGTCGATCAGCGAGCCGTACCTGCAAGGGGTGCGCGACCAGACAGGTGGTGGGGACAGTTAGCGCACGGGAGCGAGCTAGTTACACAATGCATGCCATGGCTAGCCAGTAAGGTCGCACAAGACACATGTGTGAAAGAATGCGTCCAAGACCCAGTGATTTTATCTAGGGCGAGGTTACGACGGTTAGAGCACGAGACAGGACAAACTAAGATGTCCGGGCAATGTCAGCATCAATTCACGTATCATCAATTCAAGTATCACGTATCATCCTATCCAGCACCCAGCTTCTTCAATCCTGCAAGAAAGAGAAGCTCGATTGAGCAAACCCACAAAATTCAATCAATAAAATTCGTCAGATCATGCGCGCAAGTCGTTGTTCTCACTTTGAAGGCACCATTTGGCCGTCGGGTCCCTGTTCCTGTCGGGGTTTCAACTTCTCCTGTAGCATCCTCACCAGCTCTGTCCAGCACTCATTGGCGTCCTGGGGTCAGGTGGGAGAGAGAGGGTCAACTCAGCCATATAGATCCCCATCGGCAAACGAACTACCGCTGCCACGGACAGCATACTTAGAGGCCAGAGCGATTTCGATAAAGGCGTGGACAATTCTGTCTATTTACACAGATATCCAAAGATAGTCGCCCAAACGTTCATAGTTCAACAAAAAATGATTACTCAGCCGCGAGGTTACTAAGCCTTAGCCAGAATACGTCCAAATCCACCACAGCTTCCCTTCCCATTATTCGCATATTCCCTTCCCAGCCTTCCCTCTCCCCGTCGCGTCAGCACAGCGTTTCCCACACCTGCTGCTGGAAGCCGCCCTGCTCGCCGCGCTCGGCAAACCGCGGAAACGCCGTGTGTAGCACGTTCAACATGATGATGGGCGGCACCGAGGCCACGTTCTCCATACTCGAGTAGAGGTCGCGCAGCGCAGACGTCACTGCCTGCGCGTAACCGCCCTCGGCGCCTGTAATAGGGGAGCGACAGTCAGGGGGCCGGTCAGGATACCTAATACTATGTCATATGAGTCATCACTAATGCTTTAGTGAAAAAAAATATTCGCAATATAGATATTGCTTAGCAATAGGTATAACTGACTCCTCACGAATTCCCGAAACTCATCACTAGCACCATGCCTATGAAGTCAAACTCAGCATACCACTCTGCTCCTCGTCTTCCTATCATTGAGACACATTCAGCTTTCCCTAACCCCCAGCCCACCACACTACTCACCATAATTACTCTTGAACTGTTTGAGACCCTCCGCGAGTTCCGGCACCGACTTCAGGCACTGCACTGTGGCGTTCATATAGCAGGTGTTTCCCAGGTTGGTGAGACCAGCCGGCATCTCCAGGGCCGTGGCCAACTCACTGTCCGTCATGTCCTCGACAAACTTAGTCCGCTCGGCCGGCACCTGGGCAATGTCTTCCTCCTTGCTGCCCATCATCAGAAGTGTGATGCCCTGGGGAGGGGAACGTGGAGTAAGTTAAAGTGAGGTGTGGAGGCAAACAAGATGAAATTTTACAGCATTGCGGCGGTAGTGAAACAGCTCAGCAGCGTGAACAGCAATGTGCTGTCACGTGTTGCCGGAAAATCAGCACTTACAAGATCATTCAACAAGACAGAGGATAGTTCTGATTTTTTAGAAGCCATTGAGAAAGTAAATACGACAAAATGTCGGGAATTTAGTGTTTTGTTGAGCTAGATATCGATTTAACTATTACCGATTTCACGAATAACGATTTAATCAAATTCATTACAACATTTTTTTTTAATTTAACGAGACACTCAGCAGTCCTACAGTCACTGCCTGAGTTGCACCCATCAAACTCTTATTCCACTTACATCCTTCAGTTTGACATTATCCCACGAATCCGGTTTGAGCGTCATGCCCTTCAGCATGATCTTCTGCCTGTCCGGCTGCACGCCGGTTAGCGCGAACAGCTGAGCGCGGAACACCACCGGCTCCTCGTCTGTGTTCAGCTCCACGTCCTTGAACAGCTCCTTCCCCCATTTCACCTTCACTGCAGGAGGCGGGGTGTGGCCGGTCAGCAGAGATATATGGCTGGGCAAGTCAGCTGACATTACAGCAGTAAATCATGGAATCCTACATAAAACACAGACCTACAGAGAAAAGAATACTCTACAGATTGAGCATGCAATAACTGAATTACCTAATTCAGGTGTAGCACAACAATGAAATGCCCAATGATCCACAAATATTTTAAGAATAAATGGGAAAAAGAACAAAATTTAACTGTCCAGGGATCCTTAGCAATGTTATAGATTTATTTGCTGAATCTTGTACACTTACCAGTGAAGCTAGGCATTTTGATCTGACGTGGAATGTATAGCAACAAGCTTGCTATCACTTCCTCAGAATCAGAGACACAGGTACCTCTGAAAAATAATGCTGGTTAGCATGTGAAAATTATCATGCATTGGCAGGCATTCTCAAACACAATATTAGTTTAAACTGCCCAAACCTGACATGTCGACCACTGAAAAGGCTAAGATATCACAACTGAATATTGATCCCTTTGAGGTTTGAGTAGGGAGGCAAAAGGAAAGAGAGGCAGATTAAGACAGAAATATTCAGACAAGTGGATACAGAGAGAAAGACAAATACAAAGACATGGTAGCCAGCATCTATGGAGAGAGAGAGAGAGAGAGAGAGAGAGAGAGAGAGAGAGAGAGAGAGAGAGAGAGAGAAGAGAGAGAGAGAGAGAGAGAGAGAGAGAGAGAGAGAGAGAGAGGAGAGAGAGAGAGAGAGAGAGAGAGGAGAGAGAGAGAGAGAGATAGAGAGAGAGAGAGAGAGAGAAGGAGAGAAGAGAGAGAGAGAGAGAGAGAGAGAGAGAGAGAGAGAGAGAAGAGAGAGAGAGAGAGAGAGAGAGAGAGAGAGAGAGAGAGAGAGAGAGAGAGAGAGAGAGAAGAGAGAGAGAGAGAGAGAGAGAAGAGAGAGAGAGAGAGAAGAGAGAGAGAGAGAGAGAGAGAGAGGAGGAGAGAGGAGAGAGAGAG